GGCGCGGCGGCCGCACACGCCGTTCAGGGCCCCGCCGGCCAGCGCCGCCACGGCCGCCGCGCCCACCGAGCCCGACACCAGCAGCTCCTGCCACAGCGCGTCCAGCCCGAGCTGCCGCTTGAGCAGCAGCATGGCCCCGGACACCACGCCGGTGTCGTAGCCGAACAGGAAGCCGCCGAGCGCCGAGAACACGGCCGCCACGTACACGAAGGCGGGGGTCTCGTCCTGCTGGAACTGGCGCCGCGCCGCGCGCTCCAGGTCGCCGCCCGCGCCCGTGCGCTCCAGGCCGGCGCCCGCCTCGGCCGCCAGCAGGCTGCGCTCCCCGGCGCCGCTCGCCGCGTCGGGCTCGGGCTGCTTCCGGCGCCGCTCGCCCATCAGGCTGCTCAGACTCCGCAGCGTGTACTCCGCATTCGCGCTCGCCTTGCGGGACATAAGGCAGGGGCCCGGGGCGCCGGGCTGCGCGCCGCCGCCTCGCCGCCTGCGGGCCCCGCGCGGGCTGAGGGAGAAAGTTGCGCCCGCGCCGCCGCCTCACACTCGCACCCTCGCCTCAGACTCGCGCCCCGCGCCTGCCTGCCGAGCTGGCGCTGCGGAGCGGCGGGAGGCGGGGCCGCGGTCACGTGCAGTGGGGCGGGGCCAGACCTCGCTCCGCCCCCTGTGGGCGTGGCTCGGGCCTCTCCCTGCTATCTTGAAGCCCTCCCGGGCTTGGGGACCTGTGCAGACAGGACAGCAGAGCTGCACCGGGCGGGGATGCTAAGGAGACCAGGGTGTGGGCGGGAAGAAACCCTGAGGCGGTCCGAGCTTGCTCTTCGAGCCACCGGGACAGCCGAGGCGGGGACGGGCCTACGGAAAAGCAAGTTGTCCTGCTGTGGCGCACAGCAAGGATGCTTCCTCCCGCGGCGTGGTGACGGCGCCCGGGGCGTCCAGCTTTCCTCTGGCCGGGAGTCCGCCCCGAGCAGCCGGAGCCACAGCCTCCGGTCGCTGACACCCGCTGCCGGTCCCTTCCCCAGCCGCGCTCGTGCCAAAGGGGCGGTGCGTCTCGGAGCTCCAGGACGGAGATAAAAATCGCTCCGAGGGGCTCCCAGATCTCCTCTAGGTCCCGGGCGCTGAAGGAAAATGTGCGCGTCCGCCCTTATGTAACCCGAGATCCCCACTGCTGGAGGGAAGCCGGGGTGCACCTCGCTGCCGGCCGTCTCCACCTGCCTCCCAGCTCGCGAGCTACCTTCCCACGGCCACCCCAGCTCCGTTTACCTAACGCCGAACGAGCGTTATTGGACACCGTGGATTTTATTATCCAGTCGGTTGCCCTTTGTCGGTTTGAGTTTTCTGTTTTTCCAAATTCTGTCAGTGTTACAGTCCCACCACGAGACAGAAAGTTGACCTGTCCCTCCGAGGCGTTTTGATGCTTCAGCCGGAGCCCCCGGTGAGACATTCAATTACTTCTGCAATTCCAGGGTTCCCTTCTCTTATTAGAGCAAAATGCTTCTCCAAGAGGGGACCTATTTTTCATACTGTCTCTCAGACCTTTTACTGGACCGGAAAAGGGTGTCCTGGTTTGGTTTGGTTTGGTTTGGTTTGGTTTGGTTTGGTTTGGTTTGGTTTGGTTTGGTTTGGTTTGGTTTGGTTTGCATCTCCGTTCCAATAAAAGGTTATATTAGAATTGGTCTAAATTGCTTTCCTGTGGGTTATCAGTCATGATTATATCCATAGCATAGCACATTACAACAATTAGGAAAATTGAATTAATAAGCTCAAAGGCTTTACTGATTAAATTGATTGTATAAGTTTAAACTAAGGCGAGGATGTGCCATCTTGCCCAGCGATGCGTTTAGAGAAAGCCTTAGGCTCTGGAGCTCAGAGCTCTGCGATCTCCGACTTAGGACAGGTTCCGGAAGAGCGCGCCTTTTTCGTGCTCGCGGCGTGTAGCAAAACTGCGCCCCCTGCTGCTGAGCTGGCCTCCCCGGCTTCTGAAGAGAAGGGCTCCCCAGAAGAGAAGCAGCTGGACAAGACCCTGTTTTCTTCTTGTTGAGAGGAAACAAGCTGTTTTAAACTCAGCTGGTGTAGCGAACACCTTGGCTCCTAATCATGCCAGGCTAAAAATTCAGCTTTGCAGTCAGAGAACACTACACTGTGCAGTTCACCTCTGAAAAGAAACGTGGCATAGAGACAGGCTCCCCCTGGAAAGTTAAAGCACGCTCGCCTCTACTGTTGGAGGGAGCCAGGTTCGAGGTACACCAGATCCCAAGTCTAAAATGCAGTTCCCTGAAGTCTGCCAGATCTTCTGGACGTTCAGAACTGTCAACAAACCACAGATTCATTTTTGTTGGTTCTCGTTTGCTGAGCACTGGTGCAACAAATCCTTCCCAAGTTGAGGAAGTGTGACACGTTCTTTAAATGCAATTAATTACTATCTAACAATAAATTATAAGCATCATTGTTGCTTTGTGATGCCACAGTGTTCAGTTTTAAGGACCTTTGTTTTACAAGCGCTAGGTAGGCTAGGACCACATGGGGAAAAGGACAGCCGTAGGTTTTAGCTACATGTGCTGAATATGGAGCGAAGACATTGGTAACTCATCCAGTAGAAATGTTCCTCGTTGTTGAGAGAGGATAGAGGGATTGGTAGCAGAATATTTTATTTATGTTCATTGGATTTTTTTTTTTCATTCATTTTTTGTATTTGGTACAGGGTCTCACTTGGCATCTTGGACTCATTGTTTCCCCAGTGCTGGAATTACAGGCATCGGCCACCACGCCGGGATTTGGTAGCTGGTTTAACACCCCCCCCGGGGGGGGGCAGGGGCCAGTGTGTGGCTTGCGGGACTGGGAATCGAACCCTGGTCCCCGCACTTGCTAAAGCGGGTACTTAGTCCACTGAGTGATCTCACCGGCCCCGGATGTCTATTTTTAAGTACATGAATAATGTATCCTTATACGAAAACATACTAACAGTAGATAACACCAAAGACACTCCTAAATCATTTCCCCCATTGTAACATACCCTTTTTCCTGAATTTTGTGTGTGTGCGAAGGTATGGACACAGTAAAATACAGGGGTGGTTTGTTTGATTCTGTATTATTTAGGTAACAAGAAATAGAAACCCCAAACCAAAGTGGTTTCAGCCAAAAATAAGATGGCTTCACACAAAAGTAAATATGCCATATCAAGACATGATCCCTGACTCCGCTCTGCTTCTCCTAGTCTCAAAATTAGATCCCATTCTCAAATTTCATGTTGTGCCCAAAAGGGTGGCGCAAGCTCCAGCTCTGTAGGCCATCTCCTTATGTCTGAGGGCTTCTTTGTCTGACTCTCTAACAAATTGTTTACCGTATCTAATTGAATTGACAATTATGTGTGCCCCTTCCTGGCCCAATTACTGTGTCTGGAGATAGCAGTTTGATGATAGATAGATAGATAGATAGATAGATAATCAACACTCACATTTTGAGCTTATGCCAAGCCATGTGTGCTGATATTATAGAGCATGTTTCCGTAAGAAATTTGGTATACTGGTTTGCCAAAGACAGGGAAATAAAGGCTAGCAGAAAATTAGATTTAAGAGACCATAAGAACCTACTAAAGTAATATGGCATAAAAGCCAAGTAAAGCACTTCAGGAAGGAAGGATTGGCTAAAAGAATAAAACATTACATAGAGATCAAAGAGAATGAAAACTCAGAAAATCATTAAATTTGACTACTAGACAGACAATCAATGGTAACTGCTGAGAATTAGAACTGTTTTGATGATATTAGAAACTTAGTAATGTCAAAAGCCTACCCTATTTTTTAGCCTTTTTACTGTACCTATAGTAGGTGGTAGCATCAGAATAAATTGCTAATAGTCACAAAGATAAAGCACAACCCCTCCAGCTTAGTTATGATGTATAGTATGAGGGTCTTAGGGGCTTGGTACTTCCCCCACAAGTCTTGTCTATCTTTGATTACTCCAAAGAAGAAGGAGGCAGAAAGAGGAAAGCTGAAAAAGAGGAAAAGAAAAGATGGCCAGCATCCATCAAAGAAAACTATCCTACCCAGAACTGTCTCTGCTGGAATATAGGGAGCAGGAAGACAAGAAAGAAGAAAGTGTGAATGAGATTTTACCACATTGACCCTGCCCTCTAGCAGCCATGACCCAATCAGGAATCAAATCCGTCGCACATCATATCACCTCCTCCCCCATCCTTAGACAGGAAGGGTTCAATGCTTCTTCCTCGTGAGACTTTAAAGAGAGCATATTCAATCAAGAGCAGATTAATGGAAATAGCAAACCCATAGGCTCAATTGTCTGAATATCTCTTGGCAAATGTAATAAAGGTGAGAACAGCTTAAAGAGTTGTGGAGATCAAGAGCAAAGGTGAAGGCAGGAGCTAGACATAACTTGAATTTATTGAGATGCCACAGTGAAAAGAGGAAACTGACGATTTGAGAAGCTGAGTGATTGATAGAGTCCCAAAGAAAGCAAAGAAGGACCAGGGATATAGCTCAGCAGTATAAGTGCCTACCTGGCAAGTGCAGGGTCTGGAGTTTGTTCCCTGGTTCGGGAAGAGAGAGAGAGAGAGAGAGCAAGATTTTCAGAGGTGAAGCTGACCTAGCTCTAAGGAGGAGAGATGCATCTTCCTCTCACAAGATAAGCTGAAAAGAATCGTGAGAGAGAAATTGATATTAATAACAAAAAGAGGATAAGAGGACCCTTAAGTTCACAGGTATTTTGGGGGCCTGAGAAATGGAGGGTTCTTCTGCCTATCTAGGATGCACAAGTTTGAATCTTCAATCCATACTTGCTTGAGTGTGTTGGTTTTAGGAACTTATTCTCTGTAAAAGGGAGATACTAATCTTGTATTTGCATTTAGGTGATTTCAATTCTAGCAGAAAATCCATAGTCAAACTGCCATGAACACTACAGAAATATGTTATTGTATAAATCTGAATGTCCTGATGTTAGGTAGCATCAGTAATAGTATGATTAATTCCTAGAAAATGGTTTCAAGGCCCAAATTTACCCACTTCTCAACTCTGCTGTCCTTGTGTGTTGGTCTTGATGTTCTCTGGCTTCCCTCAAAATGGCAATAGGGCTGTAACTTTGCCAGCTATAAGTGTTTTGAGTGAATACACAGAAGCACTATACCTACTCTCGATCCCCATGTAATATATTCCAGGTAATAAATAAAGCACATACCCATACATAAATATTTATGTATTAGTAGATATTAGTATATCTACTAATGCTATAGCAGACAGAAATACCAAAACAACACCCAGGATTTGGAGGCAGATTTATTTTACATCAACAGTCACTGATTGTGGTCATTCCCAGAATATCAGGCTCCAATTTCTGGTGCTCTAGCGCTTATATAGGACAAGCAAGCAGGAAGTGCAGAGGCAGAATGCCTTCTCCAATGAGGATTGACTCTTACAACATGCACCATAAAGACCAGCTGTGCATCACAGTGAGAAGCCATTTCTAAGAGACAGAAGCAACTGAACTGTAACAGGAACTATTACCTGGGCAACTAAGAAACTGAACTGTACTGAAGGGGATGGGGATCACTTTCTGTTACACTAA